ACGCTTACCATCCAGCTCAAGGTAAAATACAGACCGGCACGAGTCCTCCACACCTGACAAACCAGAACCAGTTTTACCAAACACACCAGAGAAACACCGGTGACCATCACATGCAGATTTCACTTATTTCATCTGGTACATGCATTATACTTACACTGCAGTGTGTTTAACAGGAGATTCTACACAACAACAACAACAACACTGAAAACTAGCATCGGCTGATGCATCAGACACATTTCTAAAATATTATTGATACACAGACTGTACATCTAATCCTTCTGTACATCCATCTCTTGTCTATCTTTACCCGTGCTATCCATTCATCCATCCAATTATTTGACTTTATATCCAACTATCCATCCATCATCTATCTATCTTATTACTCTGTCTATCCATCCATCCATACATCCAATTATCTAACTCCAAATCCAACTATCCATGCTCAATCCATCCATCCATCCATCCAATTATCTAACTCAAAAATCTAACTATCCATCCATCCATCCATCCATCCATCCATCCATCCATCCATCCATCCATCCATCAGTACATCCATCTATCCATCCATCCATCCATCCATCCATTGTTCCATCATTGCATCAATCTATCTATTCATTATTACATCCATCTATCTATCCATCTATCATTAGTTCCATCATTACATCCATCTATCTATCCATCGTTTCATCCACCCATCCATTAATCCATCGTTACATCCATCCATCCATCATTAGATCCACCCATCCATTGTTCTGTCATTACATCCATCGTTACTTTCATCCATCCGTTGTTGCATCCGTTCATCTATCATGTTTCATTCATTCAATCCACATGATCGATCTATCCATCCACACTTTTATTCCATTTCCTTCAGTCCCTCCTGTGTGTGTGTGTGTGTTTGTGTACTTAAATCCAATTTACATTAATATTTATCTGACAACACTTTGGTCTAAGTACCTACCTATAATTGTATCTTAAAATAAAGTGTGACTTTAAAGCTTGAGCAAGCGTGCTGCTCTTTTGAACGCCCTGTGATCCTACTTATTACTTCCTATGTTTGTCTGTGCATAAGACTCTCAGAACAATAACAGCTGAAGTGAATAGACACCTGAAACTAAACAACTATTACAGTAAATGAAGGAGCATCTACGAACTGTACAAGCCTCTCAGAAGGAAAGCAGAACAATACAGTCTAAATTGAATCCCGGACAAATCATAGTGAAACATCTGCTGTTCTGGAGAGGACTGTACATTTCAACAGAGCAATACAGCTGGAAAGGCTTCTGAAATGTTGTCTGTTCTTTTCCCCATTTCATCTTTCAGTCCTCTGATAACCTGGAGAGATGTTCAGCATCTGCTGGTCAAGACGTCCAGACAGGCTCATCTGAAAGCCAATGACTGGAAGACCAATGCAGCCGGACACAAAGGTGAAGATACTGCTTTAATGCTCCAATGTCTAGTTTAATTTTACATGCTAAATATATGATGCACATACAGATGAAGACAAAATTATTCTCCCTCCTGTGAAACTTGAAGTCTTTTTTTAAGCGACTATTAATGGGGCAAAGGCATTTTTTCCACAGTAAAATTTCTTGTTTTATTTTGTTTTTTTTCCTGGATAAAAGCATATTTCATTTAATTTGGCTGGGTAATACTTAATTTAATACTTTAAAAAAATATTTATTTATTTTATTTATTTATTTTATTAATTTTTTTATTTATTTATTGAATTAAATTAAATTTAAATAAATAATTAAATTAAATTGTTTTATTTAAATTAAATTAAATTATTTGATTTAGTTATTACATTTAATTACATTTTTAACTGAATTTAATTTAATTCAATAAATTAATTAATACATTAAAAACTAAATAATTAAATAAACAAATCTGTTTTAAAAGTATTAATCTGCAAAGGCCGTTATTTGCTTCTTAAAAAAAAAGGAAAAAGAAAATATATATATATATATATATATATATATATATATATATATATATATATATATATATATATATATATATATATATATAT